GAATGCCTTCAGGGAACACACCCACAATCAGCCAAAGTCCAGCTGAAACTTCCACCCCACACAGCACTGCAGAACCAGGAGCACATTTAGGGATTGTTGGATGGAACTGTAACTCTCCACAAAGCTTCCAGGATTAACCACTGGCTAGCAACCACATAAAACACTGCTCTACTTTGAAGTTCTAGTTCCCAATGCCAGTCTCCCATAAGCAGTCATCTATTCCTGACTACACATCTGAAATGGATAAAAACATAGCAGCAAATACAAATTTTCAGCTTTTGTGTTCTCCTACCAATGGAAAGATAAAATATCACTCTCAGTACCCTGCCTCACAAAATTTGATGATGCAACCAAAGATTAGGTAAAAAACCCAAAACAACACAAACCCAAAACTGGTGTAGATTTCTCATTTAATTAAACTCCACACCTTCCAGTAGGCATCTCCTTAATTTGCAAAGACACTACAATGGATTTATGCTGTACAGCAGTTTACTTTCTGATTTGATACACTGGAAAAAAAGTGGTGACATGCTAACTGTGCTGTAAAGGAGGTGGCAAGGAGCATTTTAATTTCATCTGAAAATCTGTCAGGACAGTTCTGTCATCATAAACCTAGCTCCTTTCCTTTTTCATAGTCCCACATACAATGCAATGTGAAAACCTTTCAGTTGAAGAGGATTAATACTGACACTTGAATTTTTCCAATGTATAAGTAATATCAGCTTTAATAACAGCCACACACGTCACCCTTTATGTTGTATGACATCTAGAACAAATTTATAGAACCCTTGTTCTCCCAACAGTTCAACGCCCCAGTGCAGGCAAAAAAGTAGAAATGAAAAATACTTACAGGAGCGAAGTCAGTCATTAGAACAAGAAAAAGCAGAAGAGGAGGCAACCATGCCTACTGTTTAGATTAATAGGAAGAGACCAGATAACTGTAACGGAAAATGGCTGCTTCAGCAACCTTTAGTGTGCACAATGCCATCCCTGAAAAAGATGCTTAAAAATGGATATGCTCAAAATACTCATCAAGGAAAGAAGGAGCAGGCAACTGACAGCCAGGTGAGAGAGAAGCAAAGTCTACGGTAAGACTTACGATTCTGGGCTTTTCAGATCAGTTCAACCTCAATTTGCATCCCTTTATCATTCTAGTCCTTTAATTAGATTAATGTTTCTTTTATGGCACACCATAGGTGTTACAGACTGGCTTCTTTAAACACATTTGCAATGTTAATTAAAAATGCTAACGGCTATGCACAGTAATGAAAAAGTGTAGTACCACAAGATTGATGAAATTCAGCTGGAAGAACTATTTCATATAGCAACAAAATCCTGAGCAACTGTCAAATAGCTCTTTTCTGTCAACACTCACTTAACAAAGGCTTTAGATTATCTTTAGTAGAGAAAGACTATTCTTAGCTGTTTAGAAATGAGAGTAGAACAGCCTGATCCCCCTCTAATGGGAGAAAAGTCTTCCAGCATCTCAATGGCCTGAAAGTTTAGTTTGATGATAAAAGCAATGCAGTTATTTTTAGCACTCTACAGGCATAAAAATACAGCTCTAAACTGTGACCTACAGCTATGCACAGCCAAGCATCGCATCATACGACAGCCTTAGCTTCAGCTAGAAGGACATCTGTAGTTGCTTCTGACTATCATTATTCATCTCACTACCAACAATACCTTTGGATGGATTTAGCAACAAGCATTTGAAATTGTTACCATCTTTTTTAAAATTGCTGCCATCGACAGAACTCAATTCAAAGGTAGGAGATCTTAATGGATTTGTAGAAAGTATTTGAGATACCATGTTAGCTTAAATGGATTACAACTTCTCTCTGGAACAGAGGATGAAAAAGAACCTTAAAAGCAGAAAAACTTAAACTGTCATACTCAGTACAGAAAGTCATTTTTCTAAGCACAGTTTGAGTAAATGAAAAAAAAAAAAAAAGAAAAAGATAAACCCTTGTTTTCTTCCAGCAGTAATAACAGCCCGGAAACAGGATATGCGGATATGCTAGGATAAGAGACCTTCAAGCAAACTCACCTGAAACAACAGTGTCATAGACAACGGCAAAGGTAATTCATGTTATTTTATTCCAATTAGTATGATTGTGTCTGCATGATTTGTAACAAACTGCAACTGAAAAGCCTATTCCACCACATTTCAGTTTCCAGATTATGTAAACAAGAATATATTTAAAATAAAAATGGATACAGAAGTTTTAAAAACAGATCACGCAGAGTTCCAGCACTTAACCTTTTTCATTACTTTTTAAATGTACAGGTTAACTGAAATTTTGGAGATTTGGGGTTTTGTGTTTGTTGGGAGGTATTTTTGTTGTCGTTCTGGGGACCGTCTTGTTTGGTTGGTTTGGGGAATATTTTTTTTCTAAACTATATATACTATCAGGATATAAAATGAAGTATTTCCAAGACGATAAATACGCACTTTTAAATGCTGTGAACTTCACAAAGTTATGTTAACTCAGGAAACAGACGGAAAATACTATAAAATGTAAGGCTTGTCAGATTTAATCATGGCTTGGCGATTATTATCACCCCTTTTACTGTACTGCTAAGTGTTTCAGAATCATTACTCACCCCTTTTACTGTACTGCTGTTTCAGAATCATTACTGAAGTTTCCTTTAAACATGCAGCTGCTAAAAAGGAAGTCTAGAGGTATAAGTATTACTGGTCAGAGAGAAATAAAATTTATTTTCTCTCCCCTCACAGCTTAAAAATGCCACTTTTTGGCTGGATGAAATGGTCAAAAAATGACTCCTACAAACACACAAGATACCCTGGATCAGAAGTGGTTACAAAAACCCTACTGAGGGAATTGAAATGGCACCTGAAAGAGCGTGAAAGATTAGTGCAAGAGATTGAAAATGAACAAAAAGTCCAGAAGACTGGCATGGATAACAACTGGCTGAAGAACTACCAAAACCCTCAAGCAACAATTCCAGCTACTGAGCAGCGGCAGCTCGAAGTTCTGTGTTCACAAATCCAGCCTTGCCAAACAGGAACTGTTCTCAGCAGGTAAGTGATTCCTATTTCTTTATGATTTATGATATCATAATTTATGATATCATAAGATTAGTATAATTTCTCTATCATAAATAAGATGTTCCTTCTACCTAATCCAAGCTTATATTTGGCTCTGATCATTCTTCCAAAGAAAGAATGATGAGCAACTGGAAAACATTTTTACAGGTGTTTTAGAAATATCTTTAATATATTATACTTGCAAGAAGTTTTTAATCAGGATTTTCCTGGTCTCGCATGTTTAAGCATGTGACCTCTCAGTACTTTCAGTTTTTCTTTTTATTTATTCCCAATTTTTATTAGACAGTAACCCAATAACCAAAAATCAAATTACATCATTAATGCAATGCACTGTTACACAGCCTCACTGCCCAAAATACGTGAAAGTTTCTAAAACTAGAAAATCAGTATGTTAAAAAAAAAATCCATTTTCTAACAAACCAACAAAAAACCCCACATTTTACAAAGAAAAGTTCTCCTATGTCTGCACTTTAAATACATTTTCTGAGGACACACAGAAACAACAGAACAATCCTATGTACCTTTTAAAGCCCAGAATATACCTAAGGGCAAAGTCAGTTTAAATCAAGTTACCCAGATGGGCCAAAAAAAAAAAACCAACACCAAACCATACTCAGAACAATAGCTTTCAATTCTCGTAATAGCTGGATCACATCCAGTACATTGTCAGAGCTCTCTTCCTCTTCTAATCTTTTGGGGGAGGTGTCTGGGGAAATGTGGCAGCAAGGAATAAATGACAGCAGAACGCAGTCATTTCCTCCTTCTTCCCCTGCCCTCAACAGACCGCAGAGGAAACAGAAGAGTTTTCAACACTAAAGATTAGATTTCAATTGTTGTTTCTTTCTAGATTTCGTGAAGTTTTGGCAGAAAATGATGTTTTACCTTGGGAAATAGTCTACATATTCAAGCAAGTTTTAAAAGATTTTCTTACTGCCATTGAGAGAGAAAACCAACAAGACCGACTGGCAGACGTATGGAATACAAACTGCTCTGAACATTTCAGCCTGCATGGAGACAGTTCTAACAAGTCGGCCAAAGATGAAATCCCCACGGTCTCAAGTTATGTCGACAAAAACACACAAAGCATGTTTCCCACTTTCTCTCATCGAATCTGGAATCTACCCTATTACTACCCATCAAGTTAAGTAGATCATGTTTCTTTCAAAAAGCTACGTAGCCGTTTGCATTCCTTTCTTGTGACTGCCATCCACAAACATAGGAATGAGAAATGTGACATGCTCCCCTTTCTTCCAAGTTTAGAAATTAAAATGCTTGATTATAGTTAGTATGCAGCATACAAACTTTAAATATGAATTCTCCTTTATAGTACCTTAAGGATGTTGTGTTTGAAGGTACCTTTTAACCAAAAATGTAGATGTTTCTGAAAAAATTCTGAAGCCTTTTTTTAGCCATATACAGGTAGATGAAAAGACTGATTTCCGTATTTTGAAATAGCATCAGTTCACAAAGTGTTAGTTAAAAACTTCTGTATTTGTATACTTATATTTGTACATGTATACTTCTGTATATGTGAAAAAAGCTATTTGTCAGCTTTTAGGCTCTATGGGAACTTTATACTGTGTAAAATAAATGGTTTCATATAATATCAGTTATATCAAATAAACTGATAAATACTTTTTGGAGCTGAACAGTTATTTCTTAACTTCAAGAATAAGTTCTAAAATGAAAACAATGTCAGAAGTTGTAACATCCTGCATGTACTGCTTCAATATTTTTTCCAAACTGTACCCTGCATGTGCTGAAATGATGTGAAGATAGACAACTAAATGAAAACATTGGATATTTAATTTCATTTACCTCTATTTTTTAAGAGGTGAATTAATTTCAAATAGTACTTTATTTGACTTATTGGAAGTTATCCTGAAACTCAGACTCTGCATTAAACTGAAATGTTTTGATCAAATCAGACAGTATTTTTCTAGAACAGCAAAAGAGTCAACAGATAATTTCCAAAGCAAGAGGTGATCTTTTTAAATTTAAGTGAAACAAATTCTCCGGTTTCTCAGTTACTACTATCTATCACTGTGGGTTTATAATAAACTTTTACAAGGCTGATTGGATACGTAGCAGTTATGGTCACAGCAGACAATTAGAGCAGAAAATCAGTGAAAACATATGCCAGACTTCAGTTTGCTACATTTCCAATTGGGCTCCCATCACTGTATGTAATAAATTTTTATGTGTCTTCTATGTAACTTCTTCATCTCCAGATTTCCTTTTAATCTGTCTGCCACATCAGAGGAAATGGACATGGCTTACATGGCCCAATTCACAAAAAGCACTAGTTTGCAAAAATAGGGAAAACTGCTTCCATTGATTATTTTCTTCAAACATACTGAAGACAAAATTCAGATTTCCCTAAATTGGTACCATTCAACTGAATGATATTTCTTTATGCTCCAAAGCTGTATCCCCCACCCAACAAAGAATTTACTAATAACACAACAGATTCAGTGAAACAAACAGAACAATACTTTCAGAAAAGGTAAGAATACTATTTAAAAAAAAACAAAAACAAAACCACTTTGGAAAGCTTATAATCTAGAGAACATTTCATGCAGAAGACTGGAGCATAATATACGCAGAAGGAGAAACATCAGAACTCTTGCATACACCTAACTGACACAGCACTGGAGGACTAGAGTGGATCTGTTCCTACAGGTTTAGAATAATAAAAAATTGCAGCTCAATACCAAAAGTACCCAGTCCCCTCCACTTTCCATAAACTAAAGACACAAAACTTCACAAGCACATGCAAACTCATAAGTGCACGCAGAGCTGGTATAAACTCTTTGCCCTCCTTTTGTGCAGCTGTCAGTTTGTGAATAAGTAACAAGAGTTGATCTCAATCTGCCCTACTGATGCAGCATAAAGAGTATAAGGTTCTTTTCATGCAGTTCTACACAATCCAGACATGATCCCTGCATAAGGGCAGGGTGGTCTGAAAGAAAGGTTTTTCCTCAGTGATTAAGCTCCCCAAGGAGTTAAACTTCAAGTACCTTTTACATAAGAAGGAGGGTAACAGACACTAAGCATATAAAAGGCATTAGCAGAATTAATATTACAGTGAGAATTAACATCCACAATGCTGGTTTCAGAAAATTTTTACTTGGTTAGAGATGCTATATTCCTGTAATGAAAAGTCACATAAATTAGTTTTTTAAAATGGTACCTTCACAGCTTTCTATTGGAAAACAGGTGAAAAAAATGGCTAAAAATTTAGCTTCCAAACTTCAGCTTATGAAAAATGGCAGGCCAGTAAACATGCAAGGTCCACTTACCTTTATGATCATCAAAAACAGGTAGGAAAAAACATCAAAACAACCCCACAAAGTGACCAGACACAATTTACCCATTCTTCATAAATTACACTTCAATTTCATTTTTAATATAACCAAATGCAGCCTTCTAAGTCCAGAAACAAGGACCATCAACTACAATATACGCTACAGCAGCCGCTCAATAATAGTTTAAAAAAGATTTAGTCATTGTAACCAATTCAATGTTAAATCCCAATGCAATGCTAAGGAAATACACCACAAAGCTCACCTACTTTTATAGGCTTGTTTTACTGATGAAACTGATACCAGGCTACTGCATCCAGTTCTAGTGTCCACGCTTGGGAGAGGGAGAAATCAAACTGAAAACTGAAGAGGGTAAATGAAAAAAGAAATAACCAAAGGCTGAAAAAATACCATCTGCTAAGACCTCACTTTGAAAAAATGGACAAAACCAGAAATGAGAGGTAAACTTTACAGACTACCAGCACTTTCATTTGATGACAGTATTATGTACTCCCTCTCTAGTTAAAAAGCAGAGAAAAGCACAGAAAAGCCAAACATGTAAGAGGAAGATGACAAACTAAAAAAAGTTAAACATATTTTAAAGAAATCTGCTAGATTTATCACAACATCCTATGGAGAGAATCTGTACCACAGACCTCCAGCTAACTAAATTGCTGGTTGAAGAGGTGTATTTGCGGAAGGAAAAAAAATAGTTAAAAGTCCAATTCTCACAATCTGTAGCATAACAAATTAAACTTACCAACAAAATTATAGGGTAGGTAACACCTAGTTATCGTTAAGAATATTTGCTTACAAACTTCAGTATAAAACATGGATGAATCTACTCAGAAGTGTTGTTACAAATAACGTGTGACACACTACCGGTCCATGTTTGACGTATGTAAAACAATTATTCAACGTTCAAGAATCAGCCACTGAAAACAGTACAACTAAGCACCGTTAAGGGACTGTGAGGGGAAAACAAAAGATCAGCCCAAATCAGTAGCGTTGCGCCTTGATTTTAATAGTTAAATGGATAAAAACACGCTTCATGAGAATAACATGCTGTAATGAACAAATAAACGTTTACTCCTGATTCTCATTTGTCACTTGCCACTGCCAAAACTGCTAAGCTACACACCTGAATCAGAACCAACCAAGTCTTCCCCACCGTTTTTCAACAGCACTTGCCACAGCTGTGCAGCAGCGCTAATGCCCTCTATACAGAAAGAAAATCCTGCACGCAGCACATCTGGTGATGATCGAGACAAGGGATAAGTAGCAAAACAGAAAATAACTTAAGTGTTAAACCCATAAAACCCCACCTGGCCTACAGCCACAAAGGTAGGTGGGCATTAGGCTGGAATCCCTCAACGTACCACCCCGAGCTCGCACAGAGCTGGGGAGCCAAACGGAGCCATCCAGCCCTTTGGGGAAATGCTCTGCACACCCAGGGCGGAGGGCACACACACGAGCAAAGGGAGGGCCCCCCGGTGCCCTCACAGACACGGGCGTAAAGACCGTCTCCCAGCCGCCGAGAGCAGAGGGCCAACACCCCGCACTCACCCCGAGGCCGTTAACTGCTCCCCCGCACCAAGGGGGCCGGGGGGATTGTGAGGGGGACCCCACAGAGCGCCAGCCTGCACCTCCTCGGTCACGGTTTTGCCGATGACGAACCCGTCGCTGAGCTGCTTCCCGGTGAGCTTCTGCAGCATGCTGGCGGTGGCCCACGGCTCACGACGACATCGCTCACGACGACATCGCT